TTTATTCAATGATTTGTGAATCTGGCAACATCCCATCTAGCAGACAGAAGGGAGCTCTGAGGCACTGTATAAAATGAAAGACTTTCATAGGCAGAAAGGAGCAGGAACAAAGACATTATACTAGCAAAAACTGGACTGGCTGTGACAGGGTCATTTTCCTTTAGGAGATGGCAGGGGTCTATCAGGTAGATTACCCGTTTAGTGCCAGTCAGGTAGTTCCTGACTGACTGCTTTAAGATTCCATTTTGGAAAGTGTCAAAACTATAATTAAATTAAATCTAAATTTGGTGATGAGGGACTTAGCATAAGTGACTCCATTTGAGGGCCTGTTGTCTTGTTTTAATGAGATACACAGATTTGATGGAGAGACATTTCTTGGAATGAGAGTCACTAGCTTTAAATAAAAAAACCCTTTTTGTGGGACTCCTGGGTGGCTCAGTCAGTTGAGGGTCTGCCTTCGGCTCGGGTCATGGTTCCAGGATCCTGGGATCAAGTCCCACATTGGGCTCCCTGCTCAGCCGGGAGCCTGCTTCTCCCACTGCCTGCTCTGCCTGCTGCTCCCCCTGCTTGTGCTCTCTGACAAATAAATAAATAAATAGAATCTTTAAAAAAAAAAAAAAAAAAAAAAAAAAAAAAACTTTTTTTGTAAATTATGCTCTAACCTAAAATCTGGGTATATGTTTGACTTCCTTGGCTCAATTCAACCAGGAAAAAAAAAAATGGCAAAGGAAAATTTGACTGTGGCATACAAATGTTTTAAATCTATGTTTCTATCATTGACCAATTCTGACCTCCCAGTCTAAGAAACCTGTCTCTCCCCCATCATTCTCTGCATCTCAGCTGCTTTCTGTGTCTTCACTGCACCTGTCCATCAGTACTTGAAATATTGTACCATCTATTTTTTTTTCCAACTCATTGTCCTCACCGTGATGTCAGTCACTCGAGGCAGGGGCTTTGCATTGCCTGGTTCAGGGCCCCCAGTTCCTGGAACTGGGGTAAGAATAAAAAATCTCTGAGCAGAGAGCCTGTTTCCCCCTCTCTCTCTCTCTCTGCCTACCTCTCTGCCTACTTATGATCTCTGTCTGTCAAATAAATAAGTAAAATATTTAAAAAAGAAAAAGATCAAGAGTCTCATGCTCTACCAACTGAGCCAGCCAGGAACCTAACTTATAACTTATTTTATTCTTTTTTTAAGATTTTATCTATTTATTTGACAGAGAGAGACACAGCGAGAGAGAAAATAGAAGCAGAGGGAGCGGGAGAGGGAGAAGCAGGCTTCCTGCTGAGCAGGGAGCCCGATGTGGGGCCCAGGACCCTGGGATCATGACCTGAGCTGAAGGCAGATGCTTAATGACTAAGCTACCCATGCACCCAACTTATAACTTCTTTTAAAAACCCTGGCACACATATACATGCATAATGATACCAACTTTTTGACAACTGGGCCCCTAGTGAAAATAAAAAGTACACTTAGAATTCTACTCTTGATCTCAGGGTTGTGGGTTCGAGCTGCACACTGGACACAGAAATTACTTCAAAAAAATGTTTTTAATAGCTAAATATTATTACTTGCATAAAAATCACACACACACACACACACACACACACACACAAAGAGAAATATATATATATATATTTTATGATGTATTTTAGGGGTACCTGGGTGGATCAGTCATTAGGCCTTTGCCTTCCACTCTGGTCATAATCCCAGGGTCCTGGGATCAAGCCCCGAGGCAGGCTCCCTGCTCCAAAGGAAGCCTGCTTCTCCTTCTCCCACTCCCCCTGCTTGTACTCTGTCAAATAAATAATTTTCTGAAAAATTAAGATGTATTTTGACAGGGCATACACACACAAATGTGCAGAGGGGGAGGGGCAAAAGGAGAGGGTGAGAAAGAATTTCAAGCAAACGCCCCACTGAGCACGGGCCCAACACAGGGTTCCATCCCATGACTCACGAGATCATGGCCTGAGCAGAAACCAAGAGCTAGGCGCTCAACCAACTGAGCCATCCAAGCGCCCTGAACTCTACATTTTAAATAGGGTAATTGCTTGGTACGTAAAACATTTCTCAACAGATCTGTTTTAAATAATATTAAAAATAAATCACGTGCACAGCTTAGTGTCGAGAGTGGTGGTTAAGAGCCAGCTCTAGGGCTAGATAGTCACTTCCAGCAGTGTGGCCCAGAGCTTCACTTAACGATTCACCTCATTTTCTCATCCTGAAATCAGGCGATGAATCCTCTCTAGATAGGCTGTTCTTAGGATAACATGAGTTAACACACGGAAAGTGCTGGAAAACAGCCTGCCAGGTAGCAAGCACTCACAGGCTGCTCTAGTGGAGGAAGCTGCAGTCACCAGAGTGAGAAGAGTTAGTGCCCTTGAAGCGTCCTAGCCTAAGGAGCAGGTGCATCAATAGAGAACTCCTTATGTGCTTAGTGGTGGCCTGTGTGGCCAGGTGGATAAACAGGTGACCTAAAAGAGAGAACTCTGAAATATATTGGGGGGGCGGGGTATTAAACAGCGTTGAATCTTTTTTTTTTTTAAGATTTTATTTATTTATTTGAGAGAGAAAGCAGGGAGGAGGGACAGGGGCCTCTGATCCTTGTACCCTGGTATCATGACCTGAGCTGAAGGCAGACACTTAACCAACTTAGCCACCCAGGTGGCCCTTAAGTAATCTCTACACCCTACGTGGGGCTCGAACTCACAATCCCAAGATCAACAGTACTACCGACTGAGTCAGCCAGGCACCCAGGAATAGTTGTTTTGGAAGTTGCCTGTCAAGTACCCTAGGAAGTGAAGAGGACGCGTGTCCACGAGATACTTCAATTACAAGGTCGAGAGCTGAGAAATCTGGTTCATGAGAGGCACGCGTAGCTGTTGGACAACTACGCTTAGGGCCCTGTGGGTGAGAGGAAAGCTTTACTGAGGTCTAAGAAAAACAACAAAAAGTCAAGGAGAAGTGACGTCGCCTGACCTCAGTTCAGTGAACAGTTTCCGCCTCTCTCCTTCCGCATTAGGACTTCTGCCTCAGATCTCGCCCTTGTGTGAAGGCCTCCCCAAGTCCAAGGTCCCTTGCCGGCTTTCTGGCCTCACTCCAAGCAGCTCACCGCCTCCTGCCCGTTCCCCATGCGGCCCTGCTCTTGGCTTCCTCCTCCCTGGCCTGCTCTGGACTCAGCAGCTGTGCTGTCCCTTCACCTCAGCTATCCTTCACAGCCTCTGGGGTTCCAGTTACCGATGACCACGACTTCCCGAAAACCGTGACAATCACGGTTGCACGAACTAACAAGAGACGCGCAAAGACTCTGACAAAATTTAAAGAGTCACGACCTTCACAGAGCAAACAGCAGCCTGTAAGGCTGCGCATGCGTAACAAGGCGACTACTTGACAAACGCGCTGTTGAAACGGAGCAGCCAATCCGCGCGAGGAGGAACCACAGAAAGGTCCCGCCCACACAGGCTGGGTCTTCGCCCCACAGGCGGCTTCACCCGCGGCCCCGCCTCAACAGCCATATCTTAGTGCTGATTGGCTGGAAGCCACCACGGTTCTATTCCGATTGGCTGTTTCTTGGTCCTATGCGCGAAGGGGAAGGGTGGTAACGGATGGCCGCTTGAAAGGGGCCTCCTAGAGGCGGAGGAATCATCATTTCTGGAGGCAGACTTAGACTCTTATACAGTCCTAAGGGGAGTGGCTACCACCGAGACCCATAGATCCCTCTTCGTGAGACGACCTACCTCTCATCGTTTCCGTGTCCTCTCTTCCAGAAGGCCCTTGGAATCCGCAGTGAAGCCCCCCCTCCTCCTGTCTTCCTAACGCGCAAGAGTGGGCCAAAGGCCTAACAGTGAGCCCTCAGACAGTGGCTACCCTTCAGATGGCCGCCCTGCACCCTTACACCCGCCACCCTCTTCTCACAGGCTGCCTCATTCTCTCCCACTCCTCTCCCACATCATCAAAGGGAGTGAGCTCCAGATCTGTGTGCCCCCAGATAGGAGCCCAGCTCTGAACTCACCTGGGGGACCTGAGGGAAAATGCAGAGAGGGGGAAGGAGAGCTGGGGGACTCCTGAGGGAGACAGCACAGGAGGTGGGTCCAGGTGGGAATTCAGTATGTACTTTTCACAGGGATGAAACATGGAGACAGCTGGGAGAAGCCTCAGAGATAACCTCTCACCTCATGAATGCGGTTTTCTCCCTCCTCTACCAAACCCCCTCAAAATAGACAGTCTCGGCCTTCTACTGATGCTGACATTCAGTCCCTCTTGGAAGGTAGGAAAAAAACACATTATGCTCCCACTATGTGCTAGGCAAGATAACTACTACTTCCCTTTCATTTTACCTCTGGTCATTCTTAGATAATTCCTGTTTTATTACCTTTTCTCAGGAAGGTTAATGGCTTTGAGGATGCATCTCTGGTTTTCACAGAGCAATACTGGTGCTTGCAGAAGGGGAGAAGCACAGTTTGGGAGGGTGAGGAGGTGTGGCAGTGATTGCCATGAGCAGAGGTGGGATCCTGGGCATCAGTGCTGATTTTCAGGTGGACACTCTTGGCAACAGACTTACCTTCTTCCACACAAGGTCCTTTATATCCTTTGCAACACTGACTCCAGAAGGGGAAGAAAGAGTTCAGACTGGATCTTTCCATTTTCTCCCTCTCAACTTTTAATACCTCCAGGCTGTCACTTGCACCTGCCAAAGTCTGGCTCTCACCCACTCTTTCCAGCCTTCCATCACCCCAAGGCTTGATTTCCCTGTAAGTCTCAGTGCCTCTTACCCAGATCTCCCATCTGGAAGGTAAGAAATCAGATTCATGGGACATCTGGGCGGTTCAGTCGGTTAAGCGTCTGCCTTCAGCTCAGGTCATGATCCCAGAGTCCCAAGATTGAGCCCCACATCGGGCTCCCTCCTCATCGGGAACTCTGCTTCTCCCTCTGCTCCTTACCCTGCTCATGCTCCCTATCTCTTTCTTCCAAATAAATAAATAAAATCTTGAAAGGAAGGGAGGAAGGAAGGAAGAAAAGAAATCAGACCCAAATGGATGGCTCCAGAGATTCTGACAAGGAATGCATATCCAAGAAGCAGGGTAAGCGACCAGCCCTCCTTGAAAGTGATTTCCTGAAAACAACCTTCACTGCCAGTCCAGCCTCTCAGGAATTATACTTTGAGAGAGCGAGCAGTTGTTCATCATAAACACTCCTAATGAATGAAAAGGAGAGGTTAGTAAACACTTCTTAATATGCCAAACATTTAAAGGTTTCAACAACCAGTTTCATGACCACGTGTAAGTACTGATTTTAATATCTAAAAAGATAAATGCACTAACCTGGGTATTGACTTCCCACCACTTCCAGCGGGGAAGGCATTGCTGCCTGCCACTGAGTGAATGGTCAGCCTTTTAGGCCCCTCCAAGAGGGGATAGATGCGCTCTTCAGCTGTTCTGAATTTGACACCTATGGCCAGTTTGGGCAAATGGAAGAGATAAGGTGGTGACTTACCATTGTGCTTGCAGAAGTCACACACAGGTAGCTGGGCTCTCTCTCGCTGGTTCTGTGCCAGGCTCAACTATCCCCTACCTTGGACCAGTGTCAAGACCACGAGGCTCAGGTGAAGTTCTCTTTCTACCTGTTACAGATGATGCTATCTCATAGGGATGCGGATGGGAGTGGAGGATGCCTGACTAAGGACAGAAGCTGCAGGGCAGAGCAAAGGTGCTAGGGCCTTCTGGAGAAGTGGATCTGAGGTCCTTTCCATGCTTCCTGGAGACCTCCCAAAGCAAAGAGGACCCTTTTTGTGAATGCCTGCTTCATGGCTGCTGCTTCCTCACTGTGGCCTGGCAGGGCAGAAGAACACTCCTGAAGGGTCTAATCACTTGAGCTAAGACCCCCTTCCTCCACGAAGGCACAATGTGACCTTGAGCAAGACCTTTCTCTTCTCTAGAATGTGGTTTCTCTGTCGGTGTGGGGGCTCTCTATTGAAGACCCCCTTTCTCTTATGCTGCAAATCTCTCTGGCGTCTAACAGGGCCTTCCAAGCTCCAGTTACCATGAACCAAGCAGCACAATCTGATGTCATCGTCCCCACAAACATTCAGAGTAGGCTCGGTCATGGTTCCTACTTTATGGATGAATAAATAGGAAGAGGGTAAATTAGTTGCTCAAGTGCACATAGCAAGTAACTAACAGAGCCTGGATTTGACTTCCAAGTATGTGCAATTAATGGTTCTGAATCTTGAGGTTGACGAACTTTCCTCGCACCAGACCTAGGAGGCATTCATTCCACAAATACATATTGAGGGCTGATCATGGAGCAGGCCCATACCCCCGCAGAACCTACGCCGCAAACCTCAAAGGTCAATCCTGTCATTATTCCATTTTAGAGGAGAGGGAACTGGGGTTCGGAATGATAAAGGAGTTACCTGAGCTTACCCAGTGAGCAAACAGCAGGCTGGGCTTCAATTCTAGCTCTTCCTGGCCCCAGAGCCCCTGGACTTGAACTTTTGAAGGCAGGGAGCACCATGGAAGGTTTTCATGAGAAGGTGTAACATGTTCGTACCAGGAATATCCACCCCCTTTCCTACTCACCCTTCCTCCCCACCCTGCCTTTCAAGGTTTTGTTTTGCCCCCTCATCCCCAGGACTGGGAGCCTCTGGTGGCTTCTTGTCCTCACTGACTCAACAATCCAATCAAAATTGATTTACTGATGTCCATGACTGGCCATTGGGAATAAGGGAACCAACAACCCTGATCTCAGCTGATCACCATCCAGTGATCAGGGAGGGGAGGAGGGACAGCAGAAGGGAGAAGCCAGAGCTCACCCAGGCCAAGAGCATGTGGTGGAGTGAGGGGCGAAAGGGGGGTTTGGCCAGCAGCCCGTGAGGCAGGTATGGGGGTCCACAGAGGGAAGCAGCCCACTATTCAGCCTGGAGCTGGCAGTCCTCCTCCTGGCACCACCCCTCCCCCCACACTCTGTGGAGCAGGCAGTAAACCAGGGCCTGGGCCAGGGTGGTTTCTAATCCTAGCCATCAGTTTCCCTGGGCTTAAGTGGATGTCACGGCCTGGTCAGACAGTGGGCAATCCTGAAGGAAGCCATCAACCCCAGCCGTCCCCCTCAGTAAACACCCAGTCCAGGGGAAAGCAATGGGACCACTGAGTAAATGGAGCCTCGAGGCCAGTCCCTGACTCCTTGACTCGGTTGTCCCCTGGATACCCCACACAGCAGTCCTTGAACCCCTGCTGCTGGCACAAGAACCCAGATACAGCCTATCCCCCTTCCAGCAACCCTCTGGACTCCTCTAAATGAACTAAAGAAGCTGAAAGTCCACTTTCTCCTCAAGAAAAGTCTCACCACCTTAACCTCTGATGGCCCCGGCGCCCCCAGGAGCTCAGCTCTGCACTGGGTGTGGCAGGGCAAGCTGTCTCAAGAGCTCACAGGGTTGGGGGTGTGTGTGTGGGAGGAGTGGAGAAGGAGCTACTGGAATCTCAAGGAATCTGACCAGTTCCCTCCTGCCTACAGGTATTGTTGCCCTGGGCGGAGCTGTTGGGTTTAAAGAGCTGGAACCCACCTGGGCTGAACCCAGCCCCAGCAGCCTCTCCAGATCTGCACCCGGCTCTCAGGTGAGCAAGTGTCTGGCTAGGACTTCAGGGCTGCTGGGTGGAAGGGTGGCAGAAGAAGGGTGAGGGTGGAGGGGGGTACCAGTCTGAGGAAGGGGTGGTGGGTGCCCGGGTATTCTCAGTAACAGGGTGCATGTTTGAGGGTTTTGAGCATCAGAGGCCGTTGGCTCTGTGACCACTGTCATACAGAGAGCAGGATAGGGGTGGGAGGAAACAGGAGCCCGCCTTTGGCTAAGGAATCCCAGGATGGTGAGAAGGGTGAGTCCAAAGGAGGGCCAGCTTCAGAGACTGCTAAAAGTCGACAAACTTCCACATTCAGAAGCTGGACATTACTAGTCCCTCCCATCTAAGGCAAAAGGACCTATGTATGTATGTATGTATCTATTTATATATCAACTTTTATTAAGCAATTCATGAATCAGGCAGCATCCCATTTAGCAAGTATGGAGGGCTGTGTATTTCTTTATTGTAACACGTTTCATTACTTACTGTGTGCTAGGCATTATTCTTAGGCTTCACATAGAGTAATGCATTTAATTCGATCATAACTGTATGCAGTTGCTATTGATTGTCCTTATTATACAGGACACTGAAGCACCGAGAGGTGAAGCAAGCCACTGAGTCACACAGCTGTTCAGTGGGTTTGAGGGGATTAGAGTTCCAGCCAGCTAGGCCCAGCAGATAAGAATGGGGGCTTCAGTTTGCAACAGCTGACAGTCCCTAAGCTTGCCTGCAGCTAACAACATGCAGAAAGCTGGAAGGGGTTTTATCTTGAGGAAACAGCCACCCTAGGAACTAGTACTTAGGGACATGGATGGTTCCCCACCCTGGGGGGAAAGAAAGGAGCAATGTTCCTTCCACCCACCAGGCAGTTTCCTGCTATGGGATTTGGGGCTGCCTTGGAGCAGGATCCCTGGCTGGGGCTGGAGTGGGAGGCCCTCACATGCTTCCACTACCACCTTTCCCCTCCTCAGCTGCCTGTTTCTCTGCGGCTCAGCCCGGGTGTGCTCACCCTTTGCAGAGACTATCTTGGAATTCATCCTGATATCGCCCGAGGCCCAGACCTTTGGGAACAATAGCTCAGGGTACCTAGCCTTTTGAGTGGGGGTAAGGAACCAAAGCCTGAGTTAGAACAGTAGCCCTGCTCCTCTGACCTAGGGTCAGGCTTCTGATTAAAGACTTTAACAAAGAATTTAACAAATCACTTACTAGGTGTGAGCATTGTTCGAAGTACTTAACTAGTATTAACTCAATCCAGGTAACTCCACTGGGCATTTACTATTATCATCTCTAGATGGGGAAACAGAAATCAGTAACTTTCCCAAACTCACCTCATGAACTAAGTGCACCCTTGGGATCTGTGCCCTGGCTCTGTGCCCCAGGCACTGTGAATCTGGAGCAGATCCTGGCTATCTGACCCCAGCCCACCCCTCTCCCCTTCAGCCCTGCTCTGCAGCCATATCATGAACAGAGTGACGGGGGGCCTTCTCCTCACACTGTCAGGTGAGTCCTCCCAGAAATGAACCTGCTACCACTCACCCTTCCCACAAGGCAGAGAAAACCAGGGCAGCATCTCCCAAAGGGGGCCTGATGTTGAACAAATGTTTTTTCATTTAAACTGTCCATTTAAAGAGTGACACTAAGGAGATAATAGTACAGGGAGGCAGTGGATATTGCAAAAATTGTCCTAAATAATTGAATGTTTGAAAACAGTAACCATCTGTTGTCATAAAGAGAGAAGCATTCCCTGTTCCCTGTAGGGCATTAGCCAGGATCTCTGTAGGAAGCTGCTCAGAAGAGGGTAAAAAGATACCAACACAGCATGCATTTCAGATGCAAGAAATAGCAAGAAGTCTGAGAAATGGCAGGAAGGGCTGGGGGGTGGGGGAAACGGCTATGGGATGAAGGATAAAATCCCAGGACTATCTGGGGCCGGGGAAGGTGTGGGGTGTCTTCCCCTGCCCACCCAGGAGGCTGGTCCGGGCTGAGGACATGCCTGCTGCTTCCTTTTGAGACCAGTGTCATGAATTAATACCAGATCCCTCCTTTTCCCACCCAGGCCTGCCTGCCTTAGAAGCCAATGACCTGGTTGGTGAGTGAGGCCCCAGACTGCCCTGCTCCCACTGCCCCACATTTTCCCTCTAAGACCCCACATCCTGGTTCTGGTCCTTATTGTTTTTTTTTCCCCCCACCCCCTTTCCTGCAGATAAAGACAGTCCCTTCTACTATGGTAAGAGCTGATCTCCCTCATCCCCCACCCCTGGACCTCTTTGCTAGAGCTTGGTGAGGGCTAATGAGGGGGCAGCATGGGGCTGGACTGGGGATTACAGAGTCAGAATGGTCTATGAAAAGAGCGAGAGGCAATATGCAGCATGGGCTTTGGGAAAACTTCATTCCAGCAAGGAGGGAAGGTACCCACAGGATATTTAGGAAGATTTCTGGGGAAGGGGCTGGAGGCTTTTGAGCCCCCAGGTATCTCACCTCATCTTCCACTCTCTCACTTGCCTTCCCCAGCATGGTCTCCTTGTTGCCTGACAGCCCACAGCAGCTTTCCTCTTCCTCGGTCCGCCACTGTCCTCCAGTGTCCCTATACACTCTTCTCTCCCTCCAGCCTCAGCACAAATGCCACCTTTCAGAAAAGACTTCCTTGATCAAAAAGGCTTCCAACTCCCTTCTTTTTCTGTGCTCTTCTGCTTATTTTTTCTTCCTCATGCTGTTCCCAGATATTATAACCCCTATCTATTTACTGGCTTGTCTTTCCTGTTGCCTGAAATATAAGTGCAAATGCATGAGCAGGGGACGAGCAGGTGATCAGATGTGTGTTTTGAATGAGCAAGTGGAGTGGAGCCGGGCTCGTGCCAGCTCACTCTCTGCTCCCCCAGACTGGGAAAGCCTGCAGCTGGGTGGCATGATATTTGGAGGGCTCCTGTGCATCGCTGGAATCTTGATAGCCCTGAGTGAGTGGTGGGGCCACCGGGCCGGGCACAGGGGAAGGTGTGGGGTGGCCCAGGTGCCCCAGGTTCTTTGCACCTACCAGCTCTTCCTCTCACAGGTGGAAAATGCAAATGCAAGTACAATCAGAAGCACAGGTGAGACAGGGCCCCTACTGTATGCCCTGGGAGCAGAGCACATCTCTTTTGGGGTAACATCCTGTAAGTTAGAGCAAGAGGACAGCCCCTGGGCTGCATCCTGGGCTTGCAGTGATATTTGTTATTCACGGATTATCAGCCCTGAAGTGCCCCAAATCAGGGAAAGCTATAACCCTTGTTATTGTTTAAAGTGACAATGGAAGAATAGCAAGGAAGTGTGCGTGCCCTCCTAGGGAGGGAGCACCAGGCGTCTTCCTGGGGGATAAAGGACAGAGTGTCTGGGAATGCTAATTTGATGTGCTCCTTTCTCAGCCCCTTACCTGAGAAAGCCATTCCACTCATCACTCCAGGTAAGACGGGCTTCTTTGGTGTCTTTGAGGAGCTTCCGGGCACTCAGGCAGGGTGGCCATAGTATTTGAGTGTTATCAAATGCCTTGTGTAAGGCTGGTCTGAGCCAACCCAGCCTGGGGGTTTCTGGAGGCTGAGGGGGTTGTCTTGGTAGTGACCATGTCGCAAGGACCTGACTCCCATTCTCTCCTCAGGCTCTGCCAGTACCTGCTGACCACAGGACCAGCTTCATGGCACTCTTGGTACTGGCTCCGATGCTGTTCCTTCCCCACCTGGGGGCCCTACGCTCCATTATGGCCTTTCCCCCCAAGGGTGGGCCTTTAGGCTCCCTTCTGATCAGAAGGCTGTGCAAAGCTTATTTCTAAATTAAACTGTCTCACCCCTCCCTCCAGTGTGTGAGTGGGTCCTTCTGTGTGTCTGATCCCAGGGATGGGCAGGCTGGGCAGGGACTCTGACATCTTGCTCAGAAATGCTCAGGCCCTCAGTGGCTGGTGGGGAGGGAGTCCTGTGGATTACTGTTGCTTCTTACAGCCACATGTCTGTCCTGAGGCCTATTCCCAGCATGCCCCCAACTTTGAAAACCTAATCATTGGTTTTCTGCCCTCTTGCCTCATCCATGCACTGTTCAAAATACCTCAATGTTATATCAAAGGACCTTACAATTTCCTTACCTTGCCTAGAGACCCTAGAAGTCCCTGTGAGCCAGGTACCCATGACATTCTCTAACCCAGAATGATCCCCAGGGGCTCACCCTCCATGAACAGGCCACCTCACTCAGTGAATGCTGTCGTTCACACAGCTCAGGAAATGAAGCAATTCCTTCATTGACCCACCCCAGTAAAATCCTATATAACCCTCAGACAAACCCATGGACTCTCTGCCTATCCTAGATAATATCCTATTGGACCCTAATATGAGCCACATCCCAAGAAGCCCTGCATCTTAGAACCAAAGACCATCCATACAAATCTAGGTTCCCCAGTATGTCCAAAGTCTACTCCCAGAACACCTCACTTGAGAGGTCCCTACATGTATGGGGTTGGGCTGGGGAAATGCCTCTCCCATCTCGTCAGCCTGTCTGTCCTGCAATCCTATCCTTCATGCCAACCTCCATAGTCTAGAACAGAAGGAGCTAAGGTGCCCTCAGTCCAGCCCCTGCTCCCAACATCGATCCTAGAGTGGAAGCAGACTGAAGCAGCAGAGATCTCCCCTGTCCCTTCCAGATGGTGCACAGTCTGGGGTGCACCAGATCTGGAGTGATGGATAGCCATGTTGGTGCAACTTGGTATATCTTGGTGTTGCTTCAGGCCAGCTCTCTAATGGTGCACTGCTCCAGATCCTCCCTCTACTTCTCAGGGTGGGGCCGTGTCCTGGAAATTACCCTGTGTCCTAGACTTCAGGCCCCTGACTTGTAAACTTGGGTTAGAACGCCAGAGCAGGGGAGTCTGAAAGCTGAACCCTTCCTCCTGGTTGGCAGCCCATCCAGGAGGTTCATAGATCTGCTTAGGGTCCTTGAAATAAGACACAGAAGGAGGTAGAGGTGGGGGAGGGTTCCAAGGCCGGACATGAGCTGCCGCAGGAAGTCCAGGAACCTGAGTGAGACTGGAGACACCTGTCTAATGGAAGACCAAGGGTGGCAGGGAGCCAAGCTCATCACCCAGCAGGACCAATCCTATAAGGCCCTTAAGGCCCCAGGATTCTGAACCGAGGCACCCTGTGTGTTTCAGCAGCCGGCGTGCACAGTGATGACGTGATCGGGTTAAGAGGTGACCTCTGAGCTGAATCCTCGAAGGTGAATGATCAGAGGAGCCAGCTGCACAGACATCTTTCCTGGTAGAGAGACTAGTGCTTGCAATCGGCATTTGGAGGACCAGAGAAAAGCCAGTGTGAGTGGAACATCAGTGAGGAGCTCAAAGAGGAGGCAGGTGCGGTCACTGCAGGGAGAACCACTGCCCCCTCCTGAGCCGGGAATTGGGGGACCCTGGAGCCCCATGGGAGGTCGGAGCAGGAGGCAGGAGAGCACCAGGTGCGGGGAGCCCAACGTAGGGGAGCACCCAGAAGTGGCTTCCAAGCTAGCTTTTCCATCCTGGGAAGTGGGGTGCCTGACCCCCTCCTCCTTGGGCAGGGGAGGATGCTGGTGTGAGTGAATTGCAACTGTGAAGTAAAAATAGCTCCACTTAGGAAAGCGAAGTCTGTGGCCGTTTGTTCGTGGGGCTGGTGCGGCAGAGACTGAAGTGACATTGTCAGAACGTCACCTTCTGAGTGACCGAAAACTGCTTTTTTTTTAAAAAGTTGATTTAAGTAGTCTCAGAAACCCATGGTGGGGCTGGAACTCACCCAGAGATTGAGAACAGCATGATCTACCCACTGAGCCAGCCAGGCGCAAGGGGACCTCAGCCACTTTGGCCCGAGATTCCGCGATTCCAACCTGGGAGCCCCCTCTGGTAGAGGGTTTCCGGACAAAACTTTCCACATCCCTCTGAATGGTTTCGTTCCCTGGCTCCACTTCACAGTGGACACCAGTCCCCATCCTCCTGTATCTTCAGCCTGCCAAACATGGCTTTATTCCAATTTCGTCTGAACAAATTGCACAGTTCCCTCCTGGAAGCAACCACTCTGGGGTGAAGGACCCCATGAGACCTACACCCTCAATATGTGGGACTCCCTCATCGCCTAGCACCAGTGAGCCTGACTTGTCAATTACAGGCTGGTACCTAGTAGGTTAGGCTGATTCTGCCTGTCCAAGCCTGGGGCAAGGGCCTTTCGGAGGTCGTCTGGGGTCTGGGTTAACCACAGGTGGAAGTCAGGGAATGTGACGGGAGGTGGGGGGGGGGCACCATGCAGGTCAGAGTCCATGTTAGCCTGTGACTTTGGCAGCTGGGCTCTGGAGTTGGGCTGCTGATTCCCGAGAAAAACAAGTCCTTCCCCAACCCCCTTCCTCACCCTCCATTTCAACCACCACCCCTCTGGCAGGGAGAGGGAGAAGTAGCCATAGGATGAGAGGAGTCTCTGCCCAGGCTTCTCTGTGTGGAAGAGTCCCCTTCCCTGGGCCTATTTCTCCTTGGAGGAGCGTGGCTTTAGTCACAATTCCCTCCTTTTGTTTTCTTCTCCCAGAGGAGGGGTTGCCTGGGAAAGAATCCAAGTAAGCAAAGAGTAATTTCTACTTAATTGAACACTTAATATGTGAAGGTCACTGTTACAAACACTTCATATTAACTCAATTTTCCCAGCAGCTTATGAGATGGGAACTTGTATTATTCCATCTACACACAGGAGGAGACCAAGGTTCTCAGAGGTCTTACAGGCCATCTCGCTCCTAAGCTGTTTCTGGAGGACTGGGCTACCCTGCCTTTCTGGTAGCACTATCTGAGAAAGAACCCAGTGACTGTGCCTGCTTGGGGACTATCTGTATCCCTTCCCCTTTGTGTATGTATATGTATGTATGTGTGTGTGTGTATATATATTTTTTTTATGTAAACTGTATGCCCAATGTGGTGCTTGAACTCAACGACCTGGAGATCAAGAGTTGTGTGCTCCAGCTGCCTGCCTAGCTCAGTTGGAAGAGCATGAGAACCTTGATGCAGGATTTGTTTGAGCCCCAGGTTGGGTATAGAGATTACTTAAACAAACAAACAAAACAAACAAACAAAAAAAACAGTTTATGCTCTACCCAGTGAGCCAGTCAGGCACCCCTTGCCCATTTTTAAATTTAAATAATCTTTTTTTTTTTAAAGATTTATTTATTTATTTTAGGGAGAGAAAGAGAGCAAGTGGGCACAAGAGGGAGAGACAGAGGAAGAGAACCTTCAAGCTGAAAGTGGAGGCCAACTCAGGCTCAATCCCATGACCCATGAGATCATGACCCGAGCCAAAGAGTCTGACACTTAGCCAACTAAGGCAACCAGGCACCCCATCTTATTTTTTTCTAAAGATGTTTCTAAACATCTTTCATGCTTATTACAGAAAAGTTGAACATTACAGAGATATCTCACTTAGGTAAATCTTTTTTTTTTTTTTAAGATTTTATTTATTTACTTGACAGAGATCACAAGTAGGCAGAGAGGCAGGCAGAGAGAGAGGAAGTGAAGCAGGCTCCCCGCCGAGCAGAGAGCCTGATGCGGGGCTCAATCCCAGGACCCTGGGATCATGACCTGAGCTGAAGGCAGAGGCTTTAACCCACTGAGCCACCCAGGCACCCTGGTAAATCAGGTTTTTAAAAAATTTTTTTTAATATTTTATTTATCCAATAGAGAGAGAGGGATCACAAGAAGGCAGAGAGGTAGGCAGAAAGAAAGGGGGAAGCAGGCTCCCGGCTGAGCAGAGAGCCCAACGAGGGTCGATCCCAGGACCCTGAGACCACCACCCAAGCCGAAGGCAGAAGCTTAACCCACTGAGCCACCCAGGCGCCCCGGTAAATCAGTTTTTAACCCAGCACTCAGAAATAATCAAGGTAAAAGTTTGATATAATATTCTATAGCTGTTATATATGAATAATATTTCATGTATATAGTATTTATATATATGTGTGTGTGTATATATATGTAAATATATATGTATGTATGTGTGTATATATATATATATATATATATATATATATATATATATGTATGTATATATATAGTATAATACATAGATACAGTATTCTGTATTTCTCTGGAGATCCAGCCAGGTTGTTGTTAACATCAATCGGTAGTTCATTACTTTGTACTGCTGAGTAGTCCTCTGAGAGCTTTTTTAAAAAGGGCCTACTAAAGAAAAAGTTGTAAGTTTTATTCTAAAACTTGTGCTTAAGCCTTGTAATATTTCTGTTTCCCAGAAGGTAGCAGCACCTTACCCTCCTTTTTTTTTTTTTTTTTTTAGGTTTTATTTTTAAGTCACCTCTACACCTAATGTGGGGCTCAAACTTGTAGCCCTGAGATCAAGAGTCACATGCTCCACTGACTGAGCCAGCCAGGCACCCCTTACCTTCAATCTTTGTGTAAAATGCCATAGAACCCAGGGTAAGAAGGGCTAACAGGGAACACAGGGAGCATGCCCGGAGGCATCTGGGTGGATCACTGGGTAGGTCCTATGCCGGGCTCTGTAGAGGGATTTATTACTCAAGTCTCAACCCAGCCATCAGAGGAATATTCTTAAGGCAAGATCAGATCAACTCTGCTCAAAATGAACCAGAGATACCCTATTTATCTTACAGAAAAATCCCCTTAACACAGCCGATGGGCCCTACTTCTGACCCCAGGCCCTACCAACATTCCATCTTCACCCACTCTCCACTCCTGCACTCGCCCTGCTCCTAGGTGTTGTTTGAACACAGCACAGGCTCTGGCCTCAGCCTTGAGGCACCGCACTCCCTTCCCAGTGCTGGCCCTTG